TTGCACTTATTTATATGTGCCCTGTATATTATCTCTATATACTTCTCAACAAACAAAACTCAAAACTCCAGTTAATTCTAGGGGGAGGAGGGGATATACAACACCCTAAAAGTAATCATGCGGGAAGTTTAGGGGAATTTTATTAAATATATTTAATGTTTTAATTAAACCCTTAAATATTTTTTGAGCAAATATATTTTGGTACAGTTCATCCAAAAATATAGCTCGTAAATCAGTAGCGCATCTAGGAATTTTTCAAAGGTTAGGAAAGGTTTTGGTAATATTTATTTTATGATTTCAAGCATTCTTCTATGTATTAATACTAAAATCGCTGACTGGTAGATTGAAACTGTTAATTTAGCATACAATATTTTTAAAATTTTGTATAGTTTGTACTATTTCTGTAATATTGCAAAATAAAATAATTAGGTGTGCAAAATGTATATTAATTACAATTTTTATTACAATTAATTGTTAAAATTCATATCTATTTAATGCTGGAATTAATTATTTAGACTAATAATTTGGTTTTCTTAATGTTTTCTCCTGTATATTTGTCCCATTTTTTCTATATTATTTTTATTTTATTGCTGTTTTATTTTTTTGCTATTTAAGTTTCTTAAGTAGTAAAAAATTAGGGTGTAATTCCTCAGGTTTTTAAGAAAAAAGCGTATTTGAACATTATTGAATTTAAAAGTCTAAACTAAAGTCTAAACTTTCTTTCTGATCTACAGGGTGTTAACAGAAGCTACTTATATTTTCTTCAATTTTCTTGCTATGTCTGCAGGTATAAAAGCAGTTTTTCCCCATTAACTGTAAACTGAAGTTACCCTCTTGGATTATTTGATTAAAATAAATAGCACGCCACTGCTTTTTTAAGAAAATATATTTATTTTTCTTAATTGTCCATCCTTTTAAAATAAGATTGATCTCTTGAGTTTTTCTTGTACATCGGCCGGTTTTCGTGTATATCAACCGATTCATGTATTTTAGGTATGCTGCTTATTTTCTAGCGATTTTGAGATATGCAATGTAGTTTTTTTTTTCTCGAAAAGCTTTCGATGTACAAGAAAAACTCAGAAGATCAATTTTGTAAAGTTTTGTAAAAAAAAGTACTGACAATCTACAAATTAAAGGTTTTTTTTTGAAAAAAAAAATCAGTGGCGTACCATTTATTTTAAGCGAGACCCCTGTAGATCACAAAGGAACTACTTAGACCCCATGTTTATATGAACTTTTTTCTTAAAAACATACCTGAATTTTTTTTAGACTACTTAAGAATATTACCCTGTATTTTTACGGAGACATTATTTTTTTTTTTCAATTAAAGAACGAGAAAGATGACTTCAGTGATCCGTTCCTTCCCATATTACCGCCACTGCCTTGTAACCACAGATTTAATAATAATTATTATAAAAATAACTGCCGAGTTATATTATTCATGTGTTGTCGTAGAGGTCGATTAAAATGATGAAAACTAAAACGCAGAATCGTTTAAAAATAGACCCCGGCGCGCTTTCAAACTGTTCAAAACATAAATATCGTGTTTTGGAACCTCCTAAACATTAAACAATAATAATAAAATACCGGTTTTATACAAGTATAAGTCGCTATATTTCAACGTTCTCATCATAGATCTACCTGTTTCAAGGTATATAAACGAGTTCATAAAAAAACAACTATTGTGTTGACATGACATCATCGTACCAAACAGTAAATTGCTAATTAACAGTTAGAGGAAGGATAGCGTAATTGGTGACAATTGCTAAGGATTAAGATCAAAAACAGATTTATTTTGTTATTGTCCTTAAAAATTACACAAAATTTAAAAAAAATGGATTTCTTAATACAGGGTGATTCTTATAGAAGTGAGAATGTTTTCAAGGGTAGTAGATCTTGATAAAAGAAGTATATAGGTATATTTCTATTTTTAATAACTTCAAAATAATTTCTAATTAAAAATTAATTTAATAATCTTGTTTTTATTTTTCCTACTTCAAATTTTACCTCGGCCATTCTACATTCTACCTACTTCAAATTTTACATCTGGTCTGTACAGGGTGTCCCATTTCCGTGTGATTTGTAGGGTTTTACAGAGGATTTCGTTTATGAGCAGAGGTACAAAAATGCGGTTTTTACATTACTATCCTTTTTTTAATTTTTTTTTATTATTCTATCCCCCTTTTTTCTGGTTTCCTGAAATACCTGGTTTTTCCTCTTCTCTAGTTTCTGAAATACAGGGCGAATTTGGAATTGTTGCATTGTCGGGATCCCTTATATTTCTTTTATCTTTTAACTTATCGAAAACTGAGTCCCAAAGTTTTTCGCGTAGAATCCAGTGGCGTAACTTGTTTTTCGCTGGTAGCTGTCATTCTTGAAATATACCCATACTACCCTAGCAGTGTCGGGTATTAAGGTTTTAAGATTTATTTTAAGTTTTGTTAAAAAATAAGTATAGAGTATATTATATTTTTAGAAAACTCTTAATGTCGCAAATAAAATATAAAAAATAATATACAGGGTATCCCATTATCTCGTTACTAGTTACTCCATTGGATTCTACGTAAAAAATTCTACGGGATGGTTTGGTTTGGTTTAGTATTATCCTTGTGTAATACCAAAACCAAACAAGAGTATTACCAGGTATTACTTATATGGTACTGTCACTGTGTGGGCTGTGTGAAGTCTGTCTAACGAGCGAAAGGACGATATTAGAAGATCTACAGAAAATACAATTTAATTTTGAGTTAAAATGACAGGCAACAACTGCCACTGTCATAATTCTATCGATGGATATACTATAGCTTATTTATACTTAGCTGAGATATTTTTTTTCTTAAAGAATAGAATTTCTGATAAACCTAAAGTATCAGAGGTATTTCCAATATGTCTAAAAATTTTGAATTTTGAATAAACTGAATATATTCTGTTTTTTCATCTCCTGGTATATCTAACATAAATATATCCATCCAATATCAATACATATAAAACAAGTTCTTATATCAATAAAATATTCATTTTCCGTATTCCGTATTCTGTTAAAAGATATTGAAAATGAAAACAAACTGGCAAATTTAAAAATATCCCATTACATGCATAGTTGATGTATTACGTCAGGGTGGTCAATTTAGCCTCCTTATATCGATTCAAGGTTCTTGAGTTTGCTAACAAGAACTCCGCTATAAATAGAGATTCGTTTGGTGAATTAGCGACCGGATGGAACGGCGATAATAAGTGGCTTTCTGTTTTATTATCAATGCATTTATCACAAGTGCAACTAAGAAACATTTCTTGGTAATGCAATATATTATGTTGTATATACAGGGTGTTTATATTAACTGGTGAAATATACTGAAAAAAAGGCACGACTATTTTTCGTAAATTCGCTTTTAAAATATGAGAGTTAAATTAATTAAAAACAAGAAAATGGCTGTTTACAATTAAGAATATCGATTTTTATAGTTTTAATAACGTAATATAACATCTGTCACATTTCTATGAGCACCCTGTGTAATATTCTTATTTATACAGGGTGGGTCTTAAATAAGTGTAAATATTTTCTGGGCTTGTAGATCTCGATAAAAGAAACATATTTTCCCTTTACCATTTTTTTAAAAAAGTCCAAAATAACCGAGACATTTTTCTTTTAAAATTTCTAAAAAATTTGATTTTTCGCTTAAATTTTGAGAACCACTGGATCTTTTCTGGGTTTTCTTTCTTGTAAATTTAAATCTACTACCAAAGAATATTTTAATGTTCTTACAAAATTATAATATTCTTTGTTGCTACCTATGTTGCCATATTATGAAGATATTAAGACTTTCAACTAAAAATTAAAAAAAAATTCCAAAAAATTCCAAAGTTATCAATTTTTTTTCGCGAAAAAAACTCATAAACGTGTTTCTGGGGTCGAAATATAATACCGCTAAAAATATTTGCATTTATTTAAGACTAACCCTGTATAAGGGTAATATTTAATAGTTTATACCACACTGATTATACTCTTTACCGTTTTTGAATTTGTACTGTGAAAATTTAATTAAAGATTTTTTTTTAAAAGCCAGGTAGGTAACATACATTTATTAAAAGATGCATTATGATTAGTGATTCTGAAAAATATGAGTGGGAAATCACTGCCAAAATTTGTACACTGAAATTACCCGAATACCCTAAAAGTTTTCAAAGTGTCCTAAAATACCCCTATATTTCTCTAAATTCACTGAAATTATCTGTTTCAACCCGAAGCTGTCTGTTTTAACAAAAATAATTTTAGTCAAGCTTTATTTGTGCGTTTGCCAAAATGTCAACATTTCAAAGGGACTTTGTGAAATATTACGTAATACCCTTGAAATTCCCCGAAATACCCCAAAATTCCGCGAAATACTTTACAATTCCCCTGCAATTCCTTGCGTTGCGTTGGTACACTAAAATACGCCAGTGATTTCCCCATCGGAAAAATATATTATTTTTTGCTTTACAAATGTTTTTTTTGATAAAAAATTGAAAATTCCCAAAAAATGGTTACTTAGTTTAAATTAGTGTATTAGAAATTACTTCTGTTAGATTCGCTTTGTCTTATAGTTATACATATGAATAAAATTATGGATTCAATTTCTTTTGTCGAAAAATTTATCGAAAAACTGGTATTTATTTAAATACCCTGTATATTTTTGCAACTTGTTACATAAAGCCTATCGAGCGAGTCGATGAGGGTTTCGACAGCGAAGGCCAGAAAATGTCAGGAAACAAAATTTGACTGAATTAAAATGGCTGAAAACTTTCATGTATATTTTCTTTGGAGAGACCATTTACCTATAATAATAATAAAAAGCTTTTTTATATGACAATATACCTACCGTATGATAAAAAAAAACGGCGTCCAGTTGGCTTGGAAATGACGATCGATGACATTCCCCATTCGGCACTCTTAATTTTAATCAAAATTTTATAATAAAACATTTTTCAAATTAAAGTAATTTAATTAATGTTTTATCTTACAGCATCTTTAAGAAACTTTGGAAACAGGATCGGACAGTTATTTACAAAAAAGAAAACAGAAGTCGTTGAAGAGGTCAATGAAGCAGAAGAACAAGTACAAGATGTAGTAGAAGAGAAAGTGAAGAAAACCAACGAAGTATTAGAAAGAACTAAGAGTGATGCAAGAAAAATAGCTGAAGAAGCTGGTAAGAGTAGTTCATTAAATATTTATTTTCTGTGTATTATAAAAATGTTTTCTTTCCAGCCAAGGAAGTCAGAAAGACGAAATCAAACATCGACGAAGACCTACAAACAGCAGGAAAGCAATTTGATTCCCAAGTTCAACAAACCGCCCAAAATGCCAACGATTCTGTACAAGGAACTTTACTCAACCTAGGACAAAGTGTCGACAACAAACTTCGAGAAACTGAGCAAGCAGTCGGAGAAAAACTACACAACGCCGCCGCAACTGCCGAAGACAAGAAAAAAGAATTTGTTCAAGGAGCCCAAAATTTGGCCTCTAATATCGATAACAAAGTACGCGAAGCCGAAGAAGCCGCCGCCAGAAAAGCTAGAGAATCTGTAGAACGCGCTCAGGAATATGCCAGGAACGTCGATAACAAAATCAAAGAAACCGAACGATCAGTTGCAAACAAAGCCAAAGAAGGTGCGGAAGGAATCCAGAACCTAGCCAGAAACGTGGATAATAAAATCAAAGAAACCGAACAAGCTACCGCCCAAGTTGCTCAGAACTTAGCAAAATCAGCTGACGATAAACTTAAACAAGCAGAACAATCTGTAGCAAACAAAGCTAAGGAAACAGCCGAAGGCGCTAAAAACCTAGCCAAATCCGTTGACGACAAAATAAAACAAACTGAAGATATCGCTGCACAGAAGGCCAGAGATGCTGCAGCGGCTGCTCAGAATTTTGCTAAAACAACTGAACAGTCTCTAGCCAATAAAGGAAGAGAAACAGTTGAAGGTATTCAGAGCTTTGCTAGAAACGTCGACACAAAAGTAAAAGAGTCTGAAGAAGCAGCGGCCCAAAAAGCTAGAGAGGCGGCCGATTCAGCTAAAAATTTAGCCAGAAGTGTCGACGATAAGGTAAAACAAGCTGAAAAAGCTGCAGCTGATAAGGCCAAAGAAGCGATCGAAGGAACACAAAATCTTGCAAGAAACATCGATAATAAAGTTAGAGAAACTGAAGAGGCGGCTGCTAGAAAAGCCAAAGAAGCTGCAGACGCTATTGCAGCTGAGAAACAACGTTTGCAAACTGGAGCAGGAAACTTAGCAAAAACCGTTGACGAAAAAGTTAAACACACCCAAGAAGCTGCTGTAAACAAAGCATTGGATATAGGTAGAGGAATTGACGCCGGATTCAGAAATACTCAAAGTGCTGTCGACAATAAACTAAAAGAGGCGCAACATTCTGCAGCTGATGCTTTTACAGCAGGAAAAGAAAAAATACAGGGCGGCGTACAGAGCCTTGCGCAAAATGTAGATAACAAACTAAAAGAAACACAAGACGCTGCATCCCAAAAAGCCAATGAAGCCGCCCAAGCAACTCAGAATCTGGCTAAAAACATAGATAATAAATTAAGAGACACTCAAAGCGTCATTACGCAGAAAGCACAGCAAGGTTTGAGCGATGCTCAAGGATTTGCACAAGGAATTGATAACAAGCTAAAGCAATCTCAAGAAGCAGCAGCGGAAAAAACTAAAGACGCAGTACAAGCGGCGCAGAACTTGGCCAAAAGCGCGGATAATAAACTAAATCAATTTGAACAATCTGTTGCGAACAAGGCGAAGGAAAGTTACGAGGGAGCGCAGAATTTTGCGAGAAACGTCGACAGGAGTGTAAAAAATGCTGAAGAAGCTGCAGCTCAAAAAGCTAGAGAAGCAGCGGAGGCAGCAAGAAACTTGGCAAGGAACACAGCTGCTGAGGCTGAAGCTGAGAAACAGCGACTTGCTCAAGGGGCCCAGAATGTTGCACAAAACGTCAATGCAGGTAAGAAAATGAATAGTTATGTAATGTATGGGGTAGGTTTATTTCTACAAAGCACTTAAAGAATATTGCTATTTTTTTTAATTTCATTAACTAGCGATATTCGCAGAATTTTGCAGAAATGTATAGTTGCATTATGACTATAAGTCTAAATTATGATATAAATTTACAGGATTCCATGCTTTTGGTAGTGCAATCAACCAGAGGGCCCAAGATGTGAATGCTGGTCTTCACAATGCAGAAATATCCCTTGAAAATAAACTAAGGCAAACCGGTCACCAAATTGACAATAAACTCTCTGAGACAGGAAAAAATTTGAATGAATCTCTCTCACATGGTTTAGACGAAAGCAATAAAAGAGCACATGCTGGTATTGATGATGTTACTGACATAGCCTCAAACATATTTGGAAAAGGAATTATACCTAAATAATAGGTACGTTTAAACTGCAATTTTTTTGTTACCAAGTTAATTTGATTTTTCTCTTTATAGGTGAATCCAATGGATTTTGTATTCCTTGCTTGAAATATATATATTACTATTTTTAATATATTCATATATTAAGAGAATGTCCATGTCAATATATGTGCCTATAAAATTGTACTAACTTATAACACTATTGTATAATCTATTATACTGTTTCTTCTGTTTTTCTATTTATTACTTTTGATTGTAGGATAATACAAACGATTAGTGAGAATAAATGGTATGAGACTATGTTTGTATACACTGATATTAGGCATAAATTATTAAGTATGTGTATACACCACGTTTTTACAAAGCATATGAGATGTCTGTTTTTTTTATAAAGATGTTCCTACCTAAACAAAATATAGTTACTTAGATAGGTATATTGGGGAGTCTGAAAAAACCATTCATTAAAGAATAAGCTTATAACTTCTCTGAAATGAATAAAACATACATCTCATAATCGGTTTTTTATTGTTATAATACATTAAGTTACTTTGCTATAATACTAAATTAGGAAAAATTCATTCAGGTTTTTGTATTTCTGTTATTTGTTATGCTTAAATATAAAATAAAAAAATATATGCAACTTAATGTGTGTATTAAAAGATCCTGATATACATTCTAAGAAAGTGTTAATATTAATTATTAGTGATTAACTGTGATTATCTTTGACTTGTATCTCTTGGTCTATAAACTATACCTCGACTTTTCATTTCTCTTATTATGCCGGCAGGTAAACGGCCAGACACTGATATAGCATAAACACCCTTACAAAATCGATCTAAAAACATGGCTTTCATTATAATCTTATTCACACTGATTTAACACAATTTTATTTATAATTAGCAATTATAGATCAAGTAAATATTATAATTCAATATTAAGCTGTGCTAGACTTTTTATACTTACTTATTCTTTGCCATTTAGCGACCCAACTGTCTCCAGGACTCATCATAGATATCATACTAAAACATATAATATGCCTACAGTAGATTTGCTTTTAAAATACCAACAAACAACATACCCATCAAAATTAGTACTTGTACAATCATAAACTTTATCTTTATCGTTTTTCATCCTCAAAAAGTCTTCACAATTATCGCATCCCTCACACTCAAACTGATCTAATGACTAAGAAAATATAATGATTAGGGACTCTATACTACAAAAGCAACAGTATAATAAATACCTTAATTAGAGAACAAACTAAGCAAGCTCTCAGACCGCGTTGATCTTTTGGAATTGATTCCAGCGTCATTTTATGGAAAATTCTCTTATTTTCTTTACTTTTAACTCGTACTCGTATTAAACAACAAATCTGTGCAACAAATATTGCAAAAATTACTAAAATATTGAGGTTAGAATCCGAACCTGTCAATCTCCTCTTTTAAGTATTTGACGCTTTAACCAAAAATTCTTTTTAAAATTTTCGCCGTTAGCTGCTAACATATTGACCACTGAATCTGTAATCAGCAAATTTGACCACAGATCATCTTTTTAACTGACAGTTGACAAATCGACGACATATGTTTGACAATCGAATTGGTTATGTTTTTAAAAATTGTTTATTTTTGTAACTGAAAAAAGGATTGTTATTTATTTATTTTGATTTTAATATTTGAAAATAATGGAAGATACCAATGATTCCGTATTTGATCTAATAACTAGCCTGTGCGAGAAGTTTTGTGTGAATGATTCACGAAAGGCCCGTATATTGCGTTCTAATTGTTATGAATTATTATTGGGAAAAAAATCCTATAAGAATCCTAGAAGTAATAATTTTAGTATTACCTTTGACCTGTATTGTTTTAAATATTGCAATAATTTTATTTTAGAGTTTAATGATTTAGAAGGTTCCAGTGACCCTGTTATAAATTTACAAGCTTGGTGTTATACTTTAATAAATAATTATGATTTTGCTGAGGAAGCATTAGAGTTACAGGAACATACAGAGAAATTAAAAGCATATTATAGCAATGATGTTTCTAGTTTTAATAGTCTTCTAACATTTCTGTTATGTCTCAAAAATATACCAAAAAAGGACAGTAAGAAATTGGTATGAGAATATGTATTTAAATTTAAGAGTACATATATTTTTAATCAGTCATATAGATTACTAAAATATTTCATGTTCTTGTCATAAATTTCTTTTAGAATTTGTCTACTCTTCCTGAAATTGATGATGAAATGTTAAATTTAAGTAGCATATTTAAATTACCAGCATCCCTACAAAATGAAGCTAATATGTCAAGTATATTTAAGTTAGATGATAAAATGAAAAGGATAAGTTCTGACAAACTTCACAATTCATTAAAAGATACTCGAGTAGAATCAAATATATTTCAAGATGAAGGCTATTCTTCCCCACAGAAACAGAATATTTGGGATGTGGTAATGAGCACTCGGTATTCAAATAGAAAGAGTTGGGAAAGTTATGGCTGTGGCGTACCTGACAAAGAAAGACCCTTTTTATCAGAATTGGGAGAACTTTCTTCACTTTGGGTAGAGAATCTAGAATCACTGTATCTAGCTAATAATATGTTCCCTAGTTTTACCATTATTACTAACAAAATGAAACCAAAGAAACATTTTATTCGAGATTTAAAATACCTTTTAGGTAAATTAATTTTTTTTAGTTATAATCATACTATTTTTAAATTTGGTAATTTTGTAGTTGGTATGCCTTCAGAGACTTTTAATCTTAATTCCCGCGAGGAATTTTTCCTCTCATCTGGTATGCTGGTGGATGGAATTACACCAGATGCAATAGAAAGATATTCCAGTGAATTTCTATTTTCTGGATCGTGCTATAGAGCTTTAAAACAAATGGTTACGCCAGATCCTACAACCAGAAAATATAAACATTCTGGTTATGTTTTTACCGTAAATATTTCAAAAACTAATTTGAATTCAAATTATTTGAAGTTTATATTTAATTTTAGGAATTTTGTGAAAGCTTGGCTAGGTATCTGCAATTTTATCGGACTGCAGTAATTAGTATACCAGATGTTACAAACTATCTAACATTTTATGAAAAAACACATGAGTTACAAAGACAAATATTAACTTTGACATCTATTTGCAAAGTGGGACCTTATGCTTGTGATGCTGTAGAGATGCCTCATGGGGTTGCATTGTTAAATTACTTATATCAAAAAGTATTAGATGTTATTGACAAGAATCTCTCTATGGTACTTTATTCTATTTTATATCCATGTTGTCAAACATATTTTAGGTGAACATATAAAACTTTTTCTATGCTTTATATGACAGTTACTTATTTTATGATTTTATAGTCGATTTTTGCATCAGTGGATACTAAAAGGTTCAATTAATGATCCCTATGGAGAATTTTTTATTACTTCTAATGTGAAATTTCTTTCAACCAGAGGAAGAACTTATTGGACTAGAAGTTATGAAATAAGGCAGGATTTGGTACCTGATTTCCTGCTGGATATAAAAGGTTCTATTTTGTTCTGTGGAAGAATTATTAATTTATTGTATTTGTGCACGCCTATGGTATGCTTACTATACTTCATAATAAATTATTTATTTACACATAATTCAAACGTGGTTTTATCAATACAAGATTCAATATTATGCTTAAATTTATTTATAAGATGACTAACTATTTTTTTAGAACAAATTATGTATTTATCTCATGGGTAAAAACCCTTTATTATTCTCTTGTTGCCTATCACATACCCAGTTGAATCAGCTTGAACAATGCTGCGCAAGATACTTCTTAGAAGCCAGCACTGAATGTGGTTCCAAGTTTAGCTTTAAAAATACAATTAGCAGATCTTTAGAGGACGATATTGCTTATGTGAACCTGATTGCAAAAAGGAGAGCTATTACATTAAAAAGAATAGAATGTGAGTCTTATATAAATAAGTCTTGTAGATATTAGGGAATTTTTATATTTGTTAATAATTTTAGTGGAAAGACAGAAAGTTAAGCAGGAAGAGTATGAGAGAAAAATGGAAGAATTCATGAGCTTGAAGGAACAATATGAAACTGCGTTTGAGCAAAAGCAATTAAAAATTTACAGGGAAATAGAGAAGGAAATTAAACATATGCAAGAGGAAATAGAAATAGAGACAATGAGAGATAATTTAATTTCAGAGGAAGCGTAAGAACAACTTATTTATTATACAGGGTGTCCCAGGCTGAGCGTGCATTAGAAGTTTTTTTAGATTAGATTTTAGATTAGATAAAATCAAGAAAAATGTACGTATTCAAACAAAATCTTAAATAACTTAAAAACGATTTATTTTAGGTATAGGAACATGTATACTCAAAAAGTAACGAATTTGAAAATCTTTTCACCAGTAATATAAAAAAGTGGGTTTCCATTTGAAAAAAATGATTTATGATAATTTTTTATCGCTTAATTCCATGACAGCTACCGCTATTATTATATGACATTTGAACAATTTAATTTTTGAAATAGATAGCCACGTGTCTTCTCTTTATGTCACAGTGGCTGTGGTAATCACTAAATTTGACTTTTAGGCTATACACATTTTTTTGACCGGTAGTTTTTTTCGTCCAAAAATTTTAAATATTTTTTTTCCAAAAACGGTTAATGTTAGGTATAGAGTGTTTAATATCAGTATTCATAAAATTTTACAGAAAATTTAAGTATGTAATAAAAAATGGGGGCACCCATTTAAAATAAGAAAGGTGCTGTCACTTCTGGTATTTCCGGAAGTGCCGCCATATTGAAAATATTTTTAATCGATAGATCTCGTTGTAAAACAATGATGTGCAAATAAATCTCCGATCTAGATATTGCGGTTCTCTAGAAACTTCTAATGCACGCTCAACCTGGGACACCCTGTATACATACAGGGCCAGGCCATAGTGCGTCGGCTATCTGTAGCTCCTAAAATAAAAAACTTGGGAATTTTGTTTAAATGCAAACAAAAAAGTATGTATTAGGATGTATTTCAGTAAAATATTTTAAATTCTATAAGGTGGCTCAAGAAAGTTTGAATGGATCGGGATTAATAGAACACCCTATATATTATTGACTTCCCTTCACATCACTTTACATAATCCTAAAATATAGGTAAATATATTTCGATAGTTTCAGAGATAATAACAAATAAATAAAAAATATTTTACAGCCTTTCTTAAAAAAGTTATTAAAAATACAAAAACTGTCCTGAAATCAAAACTATTTTAGATATTTACTTTAGATGGCTTGTACTTACTTTGCTGTAAATATGGTAATCGTAAATCATACAGGATGTTCAAAATTCTACGCCAAAGTTTCTAAAATATAAAATGTTTTTTCTTCCTTTTTTTAAACACCCTGTATATTATTTTTCAATAGATGGAAACTTAAGTCCCGTTCTCAGAACTGCGTCGTGTCGCTGGCTACACAGTTTGACGTTTCAAACAACCAATGAAGCCCCGTTCTCAGAACTGCGACTGTCGCCAGCGACACTTCAGAAGCACCAATGAGATTTGTACAAAATTCAAACAACTGTCAATTTTAAATTTAGTACAGTTCTCATTGGTTGTTTGAAATGTCAAACTGTGTCGCCCGCGACACGACGTCGTTCTGAGAACGGGGCTAAGCCCCGTTCTCAGAACTGCGACTGTCGCCAGCGACACTTGAAAAGCACCAATGAGATTTGTACAAAATTCAAACAACTGTCAATTTTAAATTTAGTACAGTTCTCATTGGTTGTTTGAAATGTCAAACTGTGTCGCCCGCGACACGACGTCGTTCTGAGAACGGGGCTTGAGAGCTGTACTAAATTTAAAATTGATAGCTGTTTCAATTTTGTACAAATCTGATTGGCTCTTTTGATGTGTGCTGGCAACACTCGCTGTTCTCAGAGCCAATCAGATTTGTACAAAATTCAAACAGCTGTCAATTTTAAATTTAGTACAGCTCTCATTGGTTGTTTGAAATGTCAAACTGTGTCGCCCGCGACACGACGCGCGACCTCGTTCTGAGAACGGGGCTTTAAACGTTTTTTTTTTGTATTTAGAGTATTTCAAAATTTTTAACGGTTTCGCAGATATTCGCGGTTTTATATTTCATATGGCATTTTCCACAGTAAATTTTTATCAAAGCCACCCAATGATTTTTCTTGCGTATTTTACCGTTGAAATAGCCATATGAAATAATACTGTGTGTATCTGGAAAAACCATTAAAATTTTTGAAATACTTTAAATACAAAAAATGTTAATTTTTTAACTCTCCATCTAATAAAAAATAATATACAGGGTGTTGCATTTAAAAAACCAAAGAAAAAATATTTTATATTTTAGAAAGTTTGTTGTAAACACCCCTAATGGTTTAAGATTACGATATTTATAGCAAAGTATGTATAGACCATCTAAAGTAAATACCTAATATAGATTTGATTTTAGGACAGTTCTTGTATTTGTAATAATTTTTTAAGGAAGGTTGGAAATAATATATTTTTTATTAATTTATTAATATCTCTGTAATTATCGAAATATATTTACTCATATTTTAGGATAATGTAAAGTGTTCTGAAAGGAAGCCAAAAATGCAATAATATACAGGGTGTTCCATTTAAAAAAAATAACCTGATCCACTCACACCCGATATACACTTTTTTGAGCCACCCTATACACGTTATAATATTTTCTTGATTTTTTTCCTCGTACATTTTTACCTACACTTTAGGTTTGCACTTAAACAAGTTTTGTACGAAAGATATTTGGAAAGGACCTGTATATTAAAAATACATATTTTTGAAGTATGCGTAATCATTGTCCTCTAATTTTATAAACGTAATTTAAACGAAAAGTTAAAAGAAAAAACACGCGGTATACAAAAAATATTAAATGATGATTTTAAACTGTTTCATTATAAAATCTTGTTTTAAAACGTTTCTTTTTGTAGGAATAAAATGATTAATTATTATTCTGAACTATATGAAGCTGTAGAGAACCGAAATAAAAAAATTAACAGCTACATGAATAACATTAAAAATATTCATATAGATTCTTTACTAATAGATAAAGACAACCTAAAAAACTCTACTGAAACTGACAAACAAAACAGCTCTTCAGAGAGTTTTTATTCCATACCAGATGACACTGAAAATAAAATGGAAACTCTAGAAGAACCAAAGCCAGTCGTTCATAGTTCTGAATCTATGGATCTTTTGAACGCCAACGTTGAAGGAAATAAGACAGAAAACCCTATAGAAACAGAATTTAAAACGACCATTAAAGAAACACAAACACCTGTAGATGCAGAGTTAAAAACAACCAATCCAAATCTGCAACAAACTATCGAGAATTTTCAGTTGGCGCGAAAGATCAAACAAAAAGTTTTGAATCAGGAAATGGGTATATCAACTTTCTTCTGTCAAGATGTGAAACAGGTTGAATTGCATCCCCAAATAAGTAATTTGACAGCAGCGCAAAGAAACAAACTGAAGGTTTTGTCGTCCGAGTTTGGAATTGATGTTATTAAGGAACACGTCAAGACTGATAGGGTTTTGACGATGGCGCAAATTAATAGGTCGAAAATTTTGGGGCATCAAGATACCGTATTCGGTAATTTTTCAGAGGCGAGACTGGATAATGAGAATTTTGTTAATAAGAATGAAAAGAATAGTGGTAAGTCGATAACTCTTTTTTACCGAAGTTTATGTACTCGATTACTTTTTTACAGTCTTCTTTGGCGTTGTTTTTCCCTGTATAGCAATAAAAATATCGTTCATATTTATCAAATAAACTTTTAGTCACGTGATTAAGCTTGACCGGCACAGCGTTGCCCACTTTTATATATTTTCTTTTAATCAAAATATTTTAGGAAACAAAAATAAATAAATTATAAATATATAAACAGTTATAATTTGTATCAACAAAACTCACCTTTTTAACAGCACTTAATGGACATAAAGCGCCATTACTACCGCTTTCCCGTTCAAAATATTCTAACAAAGTTGCGATGAGTTTTTACGACTATTAAGCTATCTTGTACACTTCGCACTAAAAGAGGTTTTATAAAGAACAATGTTCGACTGCAAGGTTAGCTGGTAAACATGTTTTAGCTTAAAGTATCAAAACACTATTTATTTAAACCAAAAATTTGTAACACAAAACTAAAGTGTCAAAACGAATGACAATGTCAGGAAATAAATAAATAAATGTGGCAACTTGACATTTTCTACAGCAGAGCTACCACCTGAATCTCCAGCGCTAAATTTAAATTCCAGTTAGCCAGCCCGGCGCCGAATATGTCCATTGTTGGCAACAATGTATTTAAAAATCGCGCCCTCGATTACGTAACTAAAAGTTTATTTAATATCAAATATATTTATATATTACAAATAGAAGCTACGTCATAAGTACCTTTTTTAGTAAGATTTGTATGACTTTTTTCTTGACAGCTAACCAAATTTAAATTTTTACAAATTAGATTTTTTTTATTTTTATTTAAAAGTATTTTTTTCTCTGTTTAATTATTCCATCTTTTTATTCAGTGGAGCAAGTCGTTTTGTTGGTTACCTTTGAATAAGAAGACTAAGGAAGGAGCATAATGCTATACATGTATTCATACATGGTGGGCGGAAAAAGGACTCTAGGGTGAGGATCCTTGACAGTTCTGTTTGACGATTCATTTGACATATTTGAATTTGATTTCAAATTTTGTGAATTTGTCAGTCTTTACTGAGCTTATTTTATGTTATTTATTATTTATTCTACTACTGATAGTTGTATAAAGGTAGTAAATCTAGATGGAAATTGTGGCAGAACTTAAATTAACAGTGACACTATCGCGATTAATCGAAAAAGACTCTAAAATAGTTGGTTGTGTAGCGTGCGGTAGATCTCGGCAAAAATCGAGTGAAATAAGGGAACAACTTTTCTCTAGTAAGTGATTATATAATATACATACGTGTAGTAAACCGATCATTTATGAAATTCACTTAAATTAACTAATTATATATTTTTTCTTGCATTTTTGCTTTTATTTACTACTTGTCAAAGATTAGATGTCAAAGAATTTCGACAATTTGACTTACCTGCTTCAGTAGCGTATCGGATGTTTATGGTTATAAATAATTATTATAACTTATCTATTTTTATTAGAATTTTATATTTTATAACAATTTTAATAACTACCAAGATTTATTCACAACGTAAAATGCAAAAAAAATATTGAGTCTACTCCACGTCTACCCTACATCATAGTTTTACATTTTTTAAATAAAATTAGAACGGCACTGATAAACCGGAATTTAAGTCGGCCATATTTGAGGCCCATCGTGGTGGACCTAAGATGTTTGATATGCTCCTTCCTTAGTCTTCTTATACAAAGTTCGTTACCAACTCATTTTTCCAGTGGCGTATCATTTATCAAATTACTTTATCTGATCTTATTTACCTGTGCAATTTTTTTTAAATTTTATAGAAGGTAAAAAATATTGATTTAGAACTAGTCATTATAAAACTCTTCTTAATTAGACTAAAGAGAGACAAAAGAGATGAAATTGATATATTTTTTTTAAATTTTAGTAGCAATGGTTTGAGATAAAAAAATATTAGCAAAAAATGCTTTCAGACCGATGAAAAAAGTTTTTTGGTGTAATGATTTAAAATTAAACAAATTTCTGTTTTATACACTTGATGGTATACTACAGGTTGTTTCAAAAAACATGTGCCATAGTGAGGAGATTCCTCATGTAAAAATAAAATTTATTTTTCATATCGACATAGTTTCGATTCTGGTTTGTTTCGTATTGACAGGGGGTTAAATTCTTATTTTTTTTATTTACTATAATTTTATTGTTGTGCTTTTAGCGATTCAAATGAAATTTTCAGGTTAAAAGTTCCTATAAATGCGACATATTTCAATGTTAAAAAAGAATTTCAATGCTTTTCATTTCAATGCTAAAAAAATCGAAAGTTCACCAGTGACGTGCATAGGGGTTATCACTGGAACATTTTTCTAAAAAAATTGTTTGCCACTGACTCTTTTTCTCTTGTTAGCACAGTTAGGCAAAAATAGGTCTTTTGTGACTACCTTAAATATCATTATTCTTTCTTGAATTTGCTGTCCACTGAACACCGGTGATATAAATTTCCATAAAATTTAATAATAAAATTGCTTAAATAAAAAATTTATTAATTTTATTTTTATTTTAATTTATTAATTGTGATTAACAAAATTGAGTTTATCACATTAAGGAGATCGAAATTGATTAAATATTAAGATACAACTTTTAATCGGCATTAAATGGCTTATACAATTTTGCTAATGAAAGAAAAAAGTCAGTGGCGCATGTTGTTTTTTAGAAAAATATTTTACTGATAACCCATATACACGTCCCTGGTGAATCTATCGACAACTTTTTAGCATTAAAATATGTCGTTTTTATAGTAAGTTTTACCCTCTCAAAATTTCATTCGAATCGCTAAAAGCATTTAGAAGAAATTTATATTAAATCGAAAAAAAATGAAGACTATAACCCCCTGTAGATACGAAATAAAACAGAATCGGACCTATGTTAAGTTCTAAAACCCTGTATACTAAAATGGAGTCTAATATTTTTAATTGAATTGTAATTGTAACTCTGTTTTTCTTCTGAATTTTTAATTGAATATTTTTTTAATTCAGATAACACCTTAAATGAAGCAAAGGCACCGAGTCCAATAAAAAAATCAAAATCTCTACATTTAAATTTTGAGAAGAGTAATTCGAAAGTGGATTTGGATAAGCCAGTGCCAATGTCAGTGGATTCCACGCCTTTAAGTGATTTACCTGTGCTTGCCACCCCATTAAGTGATTATCCCAGAAGCGTAACACCCAGTAGCATGTTTTTGAGCGTTGAAACGAAAATGGATAGTTTACCTAATACAGCTGATGTCCAGCGTAGTAATACCTCGTTTAGTTATGTTAGTGACAATCAGTTCGGTAACATAAGTTATCATTATAATAAGGTAAAAAAATCTTAGATATTTTTTTATTTTAATCTGTAAGCTCTAAATCTCTATTTTGTAGAAGTCTGAAGATCACGGTTCTATCAAATTTTCAAAAAGAGTAACTAGAGAGGAAGCAAAAACTGTAACAAAAAATTGTCTTAAATTGCTTTTGCATGAAAGCGTCTCCATACCTTTACTGACTCAGTTGAAGTTAGCAAACAACGAAATATTGAAGTATTTTATTGAAGAATTAAAGTACTTAAAACACTTAGAGAGTCTCAGGTCGTATTTTTTTCTCCAAGATGGCGAATTTGGCAGGAACATTACTGAAAATCTGTTTGAAAAATTGTATAATGCTAATTTTCCTTTGGAGTTAATTAATTGTAGAACTTTGCAGCATTTAGGTAAGTACAAAGATTTAAAAAGAAATGTATAGTGTGATATACAGGGTGGTCCGAACTGTATTCCAGAAACTTCAGCAGCATATTCTGCAGATCAAAATAAGTAAAAAAGTTCGTATAAATGTATGTCCTAACATGCTTAGTTGCGGATATACAGGGTGTAGTTTCATTTTTATTTAGAGATTCTTTTCCAATAATTTCTGCAGTAACGTCAATATTTGGATGAAGATTCGTGTCTGGGAGTTTTTTGACATGAGAAATTGATTTTGATGTCAATATGACTCCTACTAGTCGAGGGTGCCACCTACATATTTCTTAACTCGTTGAAGAGTATTATTTTTTTGCTCGTACCTGTATAAAACTACTGAGTAAAAAAATATACATTTACGACGTTTTTTTATGTAAAAAATGTCTCTTGGTGAAAATCACTACGAGTATTGGTTTTCGAGATATTTGGAATCGAAATCATCAATACCTGTCATCATTGACATAAATTAAACATGTTGACTAATTAGTTATTAGACTGAGATCATAAATTTGAAAGTTTTTGTGCCAAAAGTTCAACAGAAACTGTTTTATCATCATTTTTTTTGCAGAAAAATGTATGATTAATTTTAAAAAAAAATCCCAAATTTATTATTTCAGCGAAGTAATTATCTACTCAACGTGTTTATTTTTTGTCAATAATGACATGTATTGACTATTTCCATTCTAAATATCTTGAAAACGGTTGCTCGCAGCGATTTTTACAAAGAGTTATATTTTGCGTAAAAAGTCGCAGAGATGTATATTTTTCCCTCTGTAGTTTTATACAGGTACAGACAAAAAGTTATTACTCACAAAGCAATTAAAACATAATATGTAGGTGGCGCCCTCTACCAGTAGGAGTCATATTGACATCAAAATCAAATTTCTCATGTCAAAAAACTCCTAGACACCAATTTTCATCCAAATAAATTATTTTGAAAAAGTCGAAATAAAAATGAAACTTCTACACCCTGTATCTCTGAATCTAAGCACTTTAGGACATACACTTATACGAACTTTTTTACTTATTTTTATCTGCAGAATATGCTGCCGAAGTTTCCGGAATACAGTTCGGAGCACCCTGTATATTTTGAATGATTTTTTATTAATATTTATTTTGAGTAAAGTTTATAATTTATAATTTAAAAATAGTTTTAAAAAATAATGAAACTTACGGTGCTTTAATATATTTGTTTATTTCTCAGTTTTCAGCGCATTGGATAATTCCAGTAGATTTCAAGAGAACTCTAACTATCTTTCATTCAAAATTAATAGTTTGCCGAAATGTTTCGATTTGGGCGATCCGGACGTTTTAGATTGCCTGTCGTTGACGTACAAAGTGAAATGGCCTCTTAACATTTTGCTTCCGTCTGACACGGTGTCAAAATACGATCAAGTTTTTAAATTTCTGGTAAAACTAAACAGGGTGTCGTGGGTATTGAAAAAAATATTTTTAGTAAGTATTTATTTCAATTAACTACAGAAGAAATTGAGAAAGAATATCGTGTACACATCAAATTTTACCTGTCGGTTTTGCGTGTCATGTATAGCGTGTCATATCTATCATGCTGGCAACTCTTACTTTTGTGTTGGTATTTACATGTGTGGAAGTAAATCGCATAGGGATATTATTAAGTCGCAGAAAGAGGAATCCGTGTGCTGTTGCGGCGTTGCCACATTTCTCCGGTACGCGTTTCCCTATCAAGTAAAGTAAAATCACAATCGCAAACCGCTTATTCTTAAAATACTTTTTTTTGAAAAGATAACTAGATAAAATCATTGGATATGTTTTTGAGCATCTTAAATGGAATTGTAAGGATATCGTTAGGGTGTCCATTTTTTTATCGATGTACTTAAACAGCCGTTAAACGGTTGCCTACTAAAATGCCGTTAATAGATATTGTGACGTCGTTTATGTCGGCGGAAAGTAATGCCTGTGGAATGCCCAGAGCACCTGTGGCTCCGTGGCTGAGGCTATCGCTTCGTGAGCGAATGGTCCGTGATTCAAATCTCACGCCGACCAACACTTTTTTATATTTTTTTTTGCTTATAGCTTGATCTTATTGCATTGGTTTCACTCTTTTTGGTTGGATTGGTTTAGTTATTTGGCGATTTGGTTAGCGTGGTTATTTGGAGGGTGTTAATTCATTGGTTAGTTGGTTATTTGGTGGGGTTGATTGGTTTTTACTAATTTATATTTGATTTTTATATTTTTTATCAGTGTCTAGGTTAGTTGCGTTGGTTAAGTTGGTTATTTGGTGGGTGGATAGCGTTGGTTAGTCCTTATAAAATTCCTATATTTCATAAAGCCGTCAAGTGCGTCACATCAACGACGTCATACATATTAACGGCATTTTAGTAAGCTACCGTTTAACGGCAGTTTAAGTACAGCCTTTTTTTATAACGAGAAAACGTCAGTAATCGCGATAATTTAAAAACTCAACTTTTTAACGCATAATACGCGATAACTGAAGAACTGCATTAGATATTGAAACTTCTTTTTTATTTTGAAGTTCGGATCTTTACAAGATGTTTAAATAAGAAAAATTCGATAAGCTAATTCCCAAAATTTTAAAAAACTATCCATTTACTTTTAGTGCATAGCAATTTTCAGCAATCGTGTTACTTTTTTATTTATCTAGATTTTCACATACTGTCTGTGAAGAAAATATAGCAGAAATATTAAGAAAGTTTTTGAAAAAAAAACTACAATCAATTATTTCTGATGGATTTCGAGATATCGATTTTTGAATCGAAAGTTCTAATAGCGCGACCACTGTCGAACCCCAAATCAATTCCACTTATTTTTACCAAAAGTGTTTCTAACTTGCACTTAAAAATGTACAAGCTTAGGGTAAATTACAACGACTCGTTAATAAATACACAAGTAAGGTGTCACGAGACGTAATTAAATCGTGAAGCTGAACGCATGATGTACACTCTTCCTTAGAATTTTAATACTGATTGGGTCCACAATTGTGTCGATCGGTCGACCGCGACGAATCTGCTATATCCTCTTGCACGTCTCTTAATAATGTGTTCAGTTTCTCGGTTTATTTCATACGTTTGGAAACGTCTTTACTGTTCTCTGTTTGTTTAGTACATTATAAACGCATTGTACTCTTCTTACATACGGAAATATCGACCCAAAACTAACCTTTGCCAGCTCTTAGTATTATATAGAAGTCTCGTCTCCCATCAAAATCTGGTCTATGTGCAGCCCCATATACAGACCTTTTTTTGGTACGAATTAAGACTTCTAGAGTGTATAATATTCTTCAACAAAACTGAAACAAAATATTACCTCACAGTAATCTCAATTTCTATTTATTTTTTATTTTGACTGAAACGACAGTTTGTTTTCTTTGATCTTAACCTCGAATTTTTCATAGGAACTGAAAGTACTGGCAAAAGAAACCGGCAAAAAGGAAATATATTTGATGTCTTCACCTCAGTATAGAAAGTTACATCAGTGTCGACACGTTATGTCACATTTTATGCAAACCTTTCAGAACTATATCGTCGGTGAAGTGCTTCAACCTAGCTGGGAATTGTTTGAAAGAAGCCTGGAACATGTAACCAATCTTGATGAACTCTATTCAGCTCACATTACTTACATCAAGAACATATTATTTAGGTACGTTTATTTTAGATTTTTTTTACTTTTTAATATAATTAATTTTTTTAAGGTGTATGCTTAATCAAAAGTCAGTGGCTCTCAGGAACATAATCCAAAAGATTTTTTATAGTTATGATTAAGTTTTACGACTATCTCAGATCCAGACATTGGGTTTGTGAAGATGGATTGTATGTCCATCCGAATTTCAGTAAACTGGATAAAATTTTCAAAAACTTTGAAGATTTTGTTGTATACTTTTTTAAAGTTGCCCAAAAAGTAACAAAGAGTGGATACCAGCCTTTTTTAATTCAATTTTTAGATGTTCTTAATGTTAATGATTATTACTCAAAGAAGTTGCTTAAAAATACTTAAATAATTTACGCGCTTGTTATTTATTTTGCTGTTAATGTTTTTAAAATTATTTATTAAAATAAATGGTTTTTATATAGTTCATATCAAATAAACTTTTAGTCACGTGATTAAGCTTGGCGGGCACAGTGTTGCCCACTTTTATATATTTTCTTTTAATCAAAATATTTTAGGAAATAAACATAAATTAATTATAAATATATAAACACTTATTATTTACATCAATAAAACTCACCTTTTAACAGCACTTAAGAGACATAAAGGGTCATTACTACCGCTTTTCCGTTCAAAATATTCTAATAAAATTGTCATGAGTTTTTTATGGCTATTAAGCTACCTTAAAAAGGTTCTAAAAAGAACAATGTTCGACTGTAAGGTCTGCTAGTTAAATTTTTTAAGTTTAAACTATCACAACACAATTCATTTAAACCAAAAACTCGTAATACAAAACTAAAGTGTCAGAACAAATGACTATGTCAGGAAATAAATAAATGTGGCAACATGAAATTTTTTTATAGCAGAGCTACAGCCTGATTCCACAGCAGGAAATTTAAATTCCAGTTAGTCAGCCCGGCGCCGAATTCGTCCATAGTTGGCAACAATAAATTTAAAAATCACGCCCTCGATTACGTAACTAAAAGTTTAATTGGCATGGAATATATATATATATATATAAAATAAAACAAAAAATATATATTATAAAAAATAAAACACATTTCTTCTTCATTAACTGTTTCCTTTATTTTCATTGTTAGATATTTTATATATAAATCTTTTAGTTTAAACGTAAAGTTTAAAATACAATACAGTAGTATTAAAATGACATAAAAAATCTGTAAAATTATTGTTTTTACAGTGCGAATAGCAAATTGGCCGTTATACAGAGGATCAATTATTGTTAATATGGCATAATACCAAGCTTTCAGCAACATCCCATAATAAATCACAAAATAAATAAGCAAAATATATAGTTAAATATTTAGAGTATAAAGAAGAGTATTGTTGAAACTTATGTCTTAAAAAGAAACTATTCTACAGGACACAGCTGGGCAAAGTATAAAAAGTTTGTACCTAAAATATAAAGTAGATTCAAACAAAGAAAGAGATCGGAATATGACCTAATAAAATGCTGTTTCTAACTCAGTATAAAAATAATCACAGTATATAAAAATAAAAAATAACGCGCGATGAGTTTTATGTATAAGAGGAACATAAATAACAATTTTAAACAGTTAGAAATTTTTAAAATAAAACAACAAACAAAACGTAAATTGATTGAAAACATTTACAATAACAATAATAATTTAAAATAGTAAAAAATGTTCGTATTTTAGCACAAAAAAAATAAAAATATATTTTTTTGAAATTTTAGATGTACAACCAATTGACTTTTACAAATATTTACATATCACACCAAACATCAGCTGACTTTTATGCCAAAATACGAGCTTTATGAAAGAAAACGTAAACTAGCTTTTAATCTTCATCTTTGAAACGTCTGTAGATGGACTGGACGTAGGTAAAAACGCATTTCCAATCTGGCCTTCGGGTTTCTAGCATGTCCTCGACATCCAAAAGTGGTGCAATGTCGGCTTTCTCACTGAAACAATTATATTTACATTATTCAAGTAATTTTGACACAGTGAAATGTTACTCAGTAAGTGCACATGTCGCCCCCTATCAAGTAAAGGCGTAACTGAAAAATCGAAACAATTAGTTACGCCACTAGAGACTTCCCTACAGGCACAACTTTTATCTCACGATATGCTGTAACTGTATCTCTCACGGTATCGAGGCAGTGATAGTACAATATGATCGAAAAAAATATCGGCGTCAGCGATGGCTATGAAATGAAATGAAGATCGTTGTTGACAAAGTCTTTTTGAATAGGTAGTTGTATTTAGATATTTTAAATAGTTTTTTTATGGTACCCGGTGGCGTTGAGGTACAGGCTCTCGTCTACCAATCTCAAGGTTGAATTACAACAACTGTAATTCTTATAGTCTAAATTTATACATAGTATTGTATTTTGTAAATAAAAATAAATAAACATTGAAAACGAAAAAATAAATAAAAGTTCTAATAAATCATACATTTAGTACAAACTTAAAACATTCTATATCTGTGTTCTTATTTAAGAGGTGTTACTTGGGAATCACAATCCTGAGGTAATAATAGGCGGTTGAAGCGTTGTGCTAGCCACATTACCTTCCTTGTATACCGAACAGCTCCAGCATGGCAAGCTGTACCTTGCTAATCCCAAGGCGTTAAACGCTATATACGGGAGCTATTATTATTATTAAATAGTTTTTTCTTTGTGTTTTTTTGCTTCCGACGACGGGAAGAGATATCGTGCTGGCAACTGTTACTTTTGGGTCGGTATTTACATGTGTGGAAGTAAATCGCATAGGGATCTTATTAAGTCGGAGTAAGAGAAATGCGACGGTGTCCTATTGCGGCGTTGCTACATTTCTTTGCTTTCCCTATCAAGTAAAGTAAAATCACGATCGCAAACCGATAATTTTAAGACTTTTCTTCGAAAAGATAACTAGATAAAATCATTAGATATGTTTCTGAGAGTAGGAAATGGAATTATAAGATTATCCTTAAGGTGTGCATATTTTTTATAACGAGAAAACGTCAGTAGTCGCGATAATTTAAAAACTTAACTTTTTAACATATAACACGCGATAACTGAAGAACTTTAGATATTGAAACTTTTCTGTTTATATTGAAATTCGGATCTTTTACAAGACGTTTAAATGAAAAAAAATCGATAGGCTTTTTCTTCATTCAAAAATTTTAACAAACTCGACCATTTACTTTTAGTGCATAGAAATTTTGAGTGATCGTGTAACTTTTTTATTTGTAAAGATTTTCACATACTGTCTGAGAAGAAAACATAGCAGAAATAAAACTACAATCAATTATTTCTAATGGATTTCGAGATATCAATTTTTGAATTCTAAGTTCTAATAGCGCAACCACTGTAGAACACCAAATCAGTTCCACTTATTTTTACCAAAAGTGTTCTAACTTGCACTTAAAAATTTATAAGCTATAGGGAAAATTACAACGTCTCGTTAATAAATAAATAAATAAAGTATTACGAGACGTAATTAAATCGTAAAGCTGAACGCATGATATACATCCTTCTCTAGAATTTTAAGTAGTGATTGTGTCGACCGGTCGACCGCGACGCCATCTGCTGTATCCCCTTCCGCGTCCTTAGCAATGAGCATAGATTCTCTGTTTATTTCATACGTTTGGCAACGTTTTTACTATTCTCTCTTTGTTCAGTACACTATAAACGCATTGTACTCTTCTTACATACGGAAATCTCCACCCAAAACTAACCTTTGTCAGTCCTTAGTATACTTCCCGAAACGTGAAGCATTTTTTTTATCTGTATGGCAAATTTGTTTTATTAGTAAACTACACCTGACAAGTTGGTCTCGATTAACGCAGCGATGTTTACAAAAAATAACGGCTTAGTGTTTTATTTTGTAGCTTTTCTTACAGTGGCGAAATAGCCAGACGACTTTTTTGAAGATATGAATTCGCCACAGAGGTATAGATATTTTTTACAGTTCCTCATCTAATTAGACACACTTTAATAACGTACGTAGAAATAATAGGGATGCAAAACGAAAGTCACTTAAACTGAGACAGCCGACTGACAGATTGATTGTAATTCATTTGATGAACGACAAATGACATGGTGTTTTAAAATACAAAAAATGTCCATCTTGGTGGGAATTTAAAAATTATAATACTTACTCGGCAACTTGGAAAGCCAGTTCAAAGTTGTGTCGACGATCTTTTGGCGTGAGGGTGCTGTAATCGAAGGCGTCTGGCAGGAAATGGTGGATGAGAGCGCAAAAGGCTAGTCCGTCTGCCCAGCTGCTGGAGAAGTTGTCTAGTTGAATGTTCTAAAAGAAAGTATTTGTTAATAAAACGTATTTAAGAAAATGTTATAGCTAAAATCGAGTAATAATTTCTCTTTGTTTGCAATAAAATTAAGTAATTTACAATTACTTCATTTAGACTATTAAGAAAGAAAGAAATATATTTAATTTCTTTCTAAAAATTTCATATTTTCGATGCAGCCATCTACAATTGACAGTAATAAGATCGTTTGAGATCAGATGAACATATTATTAAGATTGTTTCAATAGATCATTCATCATGAAATTTATATAGTTTTTATAGTTTATTTTATTTCTAAGCAATTGCGTAATTAATTTAAATACATGATACGGTTCGAAATAAAGAAATGCGAATTATAATTTATCAAATTATGAGAAAAATAGAAATATTTCGAAGATCTGTTACAAACAACAAATAATATTTACTACCGCAGATTGTTATCTAATTATCCTCTAAACTTAAATAAATATAGCTTTGCGATAAAAGCGCAGTTTTCTGGTGCTACATTGCTTCATTTAGTTATTTTTTCTGTTATTGTGATTAAGATATTTTAATGAATTTGGTATTTTTTTGTGTTCATTTTTATTCTTTGATATTTAATGATGAAACAAAATAAAAAAAATACTTTTGGTTTAAGTTGCATCTGTTAACTTCATTTTAACCCAGTAAATTTTGTGCACATTGCTGTATTTGGTTTATTTTTCCTAACTCATTTCCTCACACAGTTGTTAAAACACACACCTTACACAGCCGTTAATATAATAATACCACCATTCGTTTAAACTTCTGGGAACATCAAAAGTTAAACGAAATACTTTTAAAGTAAAAAAAAGTTGAGACCATGTTGAGACGGAAATTTCTCATTGACTCGTTACTTGAATAAAAATTTACTTAACCAACAAAATACAAATGTTACATTATTTAAAAAGTAAAATAGACATAGATTTACATTGACCCACAGAAAAAGCATAACACGGAACAGCAAACCAACACAAAAATAAAAGGTGTGTCAAGTACTATGTCATTATGAATTTTTACATTATTTATTTAACGACAGTTTTAACTATATTTAATGACAGTTTCTATGAAGATTAAATAATAGAAGAAAATATCTAGTAGTAAGAACACATACAGTTTAAATAAGTATTTCGTTTTAGTGGTGATATTGTCAAGACTTAAGTATAGGCCAACTTGGGTTTATATCATATGTAATGTGAATCAGTTGGTAGTCAGTTAATCAGTTACTCAGTGAATGAGTTAGTTAGTCAGTCAGCGAGTTAGTTGATAGTCATCGAGATCGCGTAGTTTCGAAATATTTCTGTAACTATTTCAGAATACTCTCTCATGGCCATTTCCAGCTATAGTTTTATTATACTTATTCTGTTTATTTTTATTTAATAAAGAGACCTTTTTGTAATGGGTCTATTTATTAAATAAAAATATTTTCGTATAAGGTCTATTTATTAAATGAAAATATACAGTATAAGTATAGTAAAACAAGCTGGGAAACGACCAAGACAGAATATCCTGAAATACTTACACAATCATCTCGGGACTGCGCGATCTTGCTGACTATCTGACTGACCAACTAACTAAGTCATTCACTGAGTAATTGGCTGACTATTCACTGCCTCCGTTGTCTTGAGCATACTCTTTTATATCGTCTTCTCGTCGCAGTTGTCAGCGGATGCGTCATCAAATAGTTTTTTGTATATTTCCACTGCCTATATTTGCGACGAACTTCACTTTGAATCTCCACGTTACGTCGACCTGATTTTAGTTGTTTTAATTAATAATGTTTTTTATAAGAACATGCCTAAGTCGACGTTTACATGAACGATTCCCTTGGGTTTACATCAAATTGGCTTACTGAAGTATGATTTTCCCCAAGTTGGTTTATATTTAAGTCTTGACAATATCCCCAAAAGATTCCCCTAATATCACCAAACTCAGTACATTAGTACAAACAGAAAACAAAATAAACGGAAGGGGTTAGACTTTTAAAAGGTATGAAAAAAAAAATAAAACTCATCGACAACCTAACCTAACAGAAAGTAAAGCCAGGAACACTAAAAGCATATTTCACAACCAACACCGACTCGTACCTCGTATTCCTTAGTCTTCATCCGACACCAGTGCAAGAGGCGCTCTTTAATCGTGCTCGCGGACTGCGACACGGCGGGATCGGTGAATTTAAAGAGGGGGCCGGTGCCGCGGGGGGTGCCCGGGGTGCTGCACCAACCGACCGTTAATAAGGGTTAGACGAAGAAAGAAAGCGTACGGTCGAAACTTCAATCAGTAAGAATCCGCTTGTAGCATTTTTATATCGTTGTAAAAGATTTTAAGTTAATTTGCTACGCTTGGTAACAATACCAACCGAGTGCCTATACTATACATGTTGCAACGAAATGTGCATTAAGAGTTAAAGTTAAATCGTTTTATGGAATGGATTAATATCGTTGCTATCAAGATAAAATCATCAAAAAGTTCCTAAATGGTTCTGCTTGCTACTCTAAAAATGAATGCTCTAATGTTGCTGATTTTATCATTTAGGACAACCTGTAGTAGATTTTTTTTATTAGGGGATTTTTAGACGTTCACCTCATTGTGAAAAGTAAATAAGAGTTTTTCAGTTTCCATACTTTGAAACGTAGTAATAATATCACTTATTTATTTTTTGTATTATTTATTATTTTATTTGTATAATTTATATTACTTGTTAATTTTATTTATATAATGTTTTTATTTTATTTGTATTTATTTATTTATTTTTGTATAATGACTGATTATTTGTATTATTTATTATTTTATTGGTATAATTTATATTGTTAATTTTATTTATATAATGTTTTTATTTTTATTTGTATTTTTTTGTATAATGACTGATTATTTGTATAATGATATACTTATTCAGACAGTTTAATGAATTTAATACCATAGGTTAGAAGAGTTAAACTTATAGCACAGATTTACTTACTGATTAAAGTTTCTTAGTCAAATATTGCGGGAAAAAATATACAGATCTATGACGTGACAAAGCAATCATTAGAAACTAACTTTCAGGTTATATTACAGAAGAAAATTGGTTTCAGAAATAGGAATAATAGTAGTTTTGAAATAACAGTGTAAGTATGTTTTAGTGATATGTGTGAGATGGAAACAAGTGCTTAAGTTCTTATATTTAGATTTAGAATGTAAAGGAATGTAAAAACAACTGTAATTCTTATAGTCTAAATTTATACATAGTATTGTATTTTGTAAATAAAAATAAATAAACATTGAAAACGAAAAAATAAATAAAAGTTCTAATAAATCATACATTTAGTACAAACTTAAAACATTCTATATCTGTGTTCTTATTTAAGAGGTGTATTCTTGTATTTATAAACATTAGGTGATATAAACGGTAATTTACCTTGGAGGGGTTGGTTTGTTGAGACTGTTTTGTTTGTCCAACTGACGAAACTTGGCGAAAGGTGACATTGGTTTGGGCGCTCGTACTTGTTGAGTGACCCTCGTAGAAACTGAAATATTAAAAAAATTAAAAAATAATTTTTAACAAAATATTTGTTTAGTTTATTTTACCTTTTGTTGTCGAAACTTCACTTTCCTTCTTTGTTTCAAGTTCACCTGAAAAACAAAATAAATATTATTATTTACAAGATTTAAAGGTATTTTAATTGAACATGATAAATAATGTTAGCAAATAAAACAAAATAGGAAATTCAAATCAAACTTTGCATAGGACAGAGCATACAAGACAACCGTTTCATAGTATCAACAAGTTTTGAATAGTGTCAAAGTATATCTGTGACAAAATATAATTTAATGTTACTTAAGGGTAATTTAATTTTTAAATCCTATATTTCTTGTCAAAACATAAATTATATTATTGCGAAATAATGTGACTTTTATTTCAATATATAATTTTTTTTTCTGTAATTTACATTTTAATTTTTTAAAGATAAAAAAAACATGTGTGTAAAGTGGTGTAAAATAAAAATACGTTCTACAGAAATTTGGCTTAATATAAGTTTTTTTTTATTTGTTAAATATAATATTTTCCTTTTTACGTTAAAACTATATGGTCTCTCTATTGTAACTAATGTGTAAACCTATATAATATTAAATATAGGTAAAATCCAAAAATAACATGTAGTGTGAATCACTCAATATTTTTTAACACTATCTTATTGCCAAGAAGTATAATTTTCTGGCACAACTTGAACACATGAAGATTTTTTTTTAAATTTGTGTTTTGTTTACCCTCCGTGGTTATCCCTTCTATATGGGGCAGTCCCATAATACAGGTTGAGTCTTAAATAAGTGCAAATATTTTTAGGGCTAATATACAGGGTGGTCCGAACTGTATTCCGGAAACTTCAGCCGCATATTCTGCAGGTAAAAATAAGTAAAAAATTTCATATAAATGTATGTCCTAAAATGCTTCGTTTCGGAGATACAGGGTGTAGAAGTTTCATTTTTATTTCGGCTTTTCCCAAATAATTTATGAAGTAACGTGAATATTTGGTTGAAAATCGGTGTCTGGAAGTTTTTTGACATAAGAAATTTGATTTTGATGTCTGTATGACACCTACTTGTAGAGGACGCCACATACATACTTTTTTAACTGGTTTGGAGAGTAATAACTTTTCGTCCATACCTGTATAAAACTACTGAGTAAAAAAATATATATTTACTACATTCTTTCCCACATTCATTTATTTTATTCTGTATCTCCGACACTAAGTATTTTAGAAAATGTCTGTACCTATGTGGCTAGTATTTTAGGACATAATCTATACGAACTTTTTGACTTATTTTTCTACTATCCAGAAAAGATCCAGTGGTTCTCGATATTTAGGCAAAAAATTATTTCTAAATTTTCAAAGTAAAATAATTCGGTTATTTTGGACTAGACCGTACAATATATTCTTTGGTTTCATTCAAGTTATTGAAAAATTATACCACGGACACAAAAAATTTAAATATTTGGAAATCATTCTTGTTGATACTTTGAAAGCTAAACTTGGCAGTCGGCACGAATTATTAGTGCTTGTTGTGTAGATGTAATGATATATATGACCAAAAAAAAATGTAATCGTACAACACAATAATGGTTTACTACGACTAGATGGTCTAAACACTACAAAAACAAAAATCTGAAATGGTCGCAAAAAACATGGACGGACAAAACAAATCCGGGAAATTGTTGTGTGACTTGCTAGTGTGGTAGCGATGGCGGGCGGCATACGCGTCAGTAGGGATAATGGCGGTTTTAGTTAATGAGGTGCAGCGTACACCCACACAGCAGGTATCATTCCGTTTTCGTTCTCACCACATTTTAAGCTTCATCCAGATTCACCATCGATCCAATCCTTCGATTAAACAGCACCTCTAGCAACCAAATCATTGAACTATTGGTACACGAACTTATCTTGCCTGTCCGCACGAAGTTGTGGGGTGTACGCCCACCCTTAACCTTCGTCTCTTTTTTCCTCTCACATCATCCAGTCTCTTATTCTTCAAACAAAACAACTTCTTAAATCCATTTTGGTTTGTCCAAACTAAATCTACGGCACTATACAACATATTCCACTTAACACATCAGAAATGGAATGGATACTCGGGCATCTTCCCGATAAACAAAAATTACTAAAATTAATGTTACGAGGACTCGAAAAGTTCCTCGAAGGCTTTATCTACATTGTTTTCGTCCAGGAGTTGTGGACAAGTTATGTCAGGTAACGTTCGACTTCTACTAAGGCTGCCACTCACTTTGGTTTGGGTGGACACCTTTTCTGACGTTCTAATCCTATTAATACTTCTTCTTACTGTTTTTGCTCCACCATCCGCAGGAGGGCTCTTATTCCCGGACAAGAAAGCTTCCATGGTCTTTCTTTTATGAAGCATCTCCTCTTTGCTCATTCCCGCTTCGAACAATTTTGGCACAGCAAGCGTATTACTCGACTTTGACTTTACTGGACCTGGTTTAGGTGCAGGTTTTTCACTGGTAGTTTGATGTCCCATGCAGATCTGATGCCATGAGTCCGATTTGCTTAGAACCTGAGCTTGAGTAGGAGCTCTAGGCGATTCAGGTGATTTTACGTTGATAACTGGAATATGAAACTGACCAGTTAAAACCGACTGTCCTTTTTCGTTAATATGAAGTTTCTCATTAGATTTAGACACGTTGTTAAAGATTGGTGTAGGTTTCGGTTTCTGTTGCTGCATCGGCTTTACCACTCCACAACTCTTGGCCTCTTTTAAAGTATCTTCAAAACTTGACTTAAATTTGAAGCTGCTAGGTGAAATAGTAGGCTTAGGGCAATCGCTAGGTCTAAAACTGGACACATCTCTACTTTGAGTTTCGCTTTTGTATTTGAAACTCTGACTCAAACCCGGACTTCTGCTGATTTCAGGTTGTCTTGGTTTATAACTAAAACTGTTACTGGGTGACCTGGCTGGTGATTTGTTAGGACTGATGCTGTTTTCTTTGCTGTCTTGCTTAGAGACCTTTTGTAAAGAATTGCGCAAGTTAAAGGCAGCTTCCATGTCATGTTGGTCTCTACTCATAGGTGATTTTTGTTTAACAGTTACTGCTTGTTGACTAACAGGTCCTGTCATTACTCTGCTACTTACAGCACTATGTTCATGCAAACTTTCGTTAGATATTTGTCTTTCTGCTCTCGGTGGTTGAACTACCGGTTCGATAGCTTGAACTGGTACCTTTTGTGCAGGTTTAAATACAAATGTAGATGTAAAATCGTCTTGTTTTTTAGGCGAGTCAATTGAACTTTGACGAATTGGCCGAGCAGTTTGAATAGGTGCTTGTCGATAAACTTCATTTTGTTGTGCTTGTCTAGGTTGTTCGTATTGAAATGGCGTATTTTGGGGTACATAAGGAGGAGTTTTTGGTGACTGAATTACAGGTTGTGGTTTGTCATAAACGATTGAATAATTTTGAGGTTGATAATTTTGGTTTGGTGATGGTTGCGTTTGACCTTGTGAGTATCTATTATAATTATGAACAGTACTTGTTTGAGTTTGGGGTTGATCATATCGAATCGTATAATTTACTGGTCTATTTTGTTGAGGATATGATTGAGTTTGTGGTTGGTCATACCGAATAGAATAATTTATAGGAGGTGTCGTTTGTTGAGAATATGTTTGATTCTGAGGTTGATCGTAGCGAATTGAATAGTTTACGGGCTGATCATATCTAATGCTGTAATTTTGAGGGGGAGACAGGGGTACAGAATGGGATGGCGGTTTGACTTGAGGAGTATACTGACTTTCGACTACGCTAGTCTTAATTTGATAAGTCTGAGGCCTCTGATGGGATTCAGCAGCTTTATTGTCTATATCTTGATATTGATCGCTTAATTTTCTAACTGTACTTGACCTATTCTCCACAGCTTTATTCAAATAAGAAGGTTTCCGATCTATTACATTTGCATTTGCCTGATAATTAATCACTGCATTTTTATTACTTTCCCTGCTTGATCTTCGTGGTCTAGGTGGTTCTTTAACTGGCGCAGGCTGTTCAAATCTCGATGCAGCCAGACTCAAAACGCGACTACCACCCGTAGTAGCTGCCCATGGTTTTGAACCTACAGGAGAAGTAACAGTCGACGATTCCACAGAGCTAGATAATGGTTTAGGACTGTACAGGAAAACAGAACCACTTTGATCTTTTATTTCGCTTTTGATAAGTTCGTTATTATCAGGCGAAAATACCAACGAAGTTCTATTTGAAGAGGTCTGAGGAGCTCTTTTTATCGGTTTAAATGCGCTCTGAGGCGCGTGCGAGAACTGGTTAACGGGTAAAGGTTGAGGTACCACCTTATATTGTTTTTCTGGTTCGGTTTTTACTTGTAACGAGCCAGTAATAACGTGAGACTGATTTGGTTTCTTCCAAGACGGTGGAGCGGCTTGGGATTCTTTCTTCTTTTCTTCGAACATTTGCTGTAAGTTTCTAGCGCTCTGCCTACTAATTTTCGGACCGAATTGATTAGGTGTTGACATAGTTATATTGTCATCTGCCGATTTCCAAAAACTTTTCGCGTCATTGCTCGAACTCTTTTCAAACGTGTTTTTGATATTTCCGAATTTACTGCCCCAAACTGATGAATTTTTCGCCCAGGGAGATCCTTTGTTTGAATTGTTATCGTTATGTTTGTTAATAAAAGCAATGAACTTCTTGTCCGATTCTGTTTTAGGCTGGAAAGTTGGAACAATTTTCTTTGTGTGAGGGTTTCCAACACCAACAGGACCTCTAAGAGCATAGCAACTATCTCTCCTTTTGTTGTTTTCATCTTCGTTTTCCGAGTCAGTATCATCATCTTCGTAGAAGTTTAGTGGTTTAGGAATATCAATTGTGTTTGCTCGCTTCATTTTTATCTTCTTCTGAGTATCAAATCTACTACATTTTTCTTCGTGTTTCTGAGACGGTTTAATATAAGTATTTTCTACGGGTCTCTGAGATGGTTCAGAGTAAATAGGATTGCTTTTTAATGGAGCATTTTCTAACGGGGTCGCACTTTTAACTGTACCACTATCAACTTCTTCCTCCTCCTCTTCTTCTTCTACTTCTTCTTCTACTTCCTCGTATTCCGAACCAGATTCTTCTTCTTTTTCTTCTTGTTTTAGTGCTGCTATCTTACTAGCTGCCGCCTGCTGCGCAGCTTTACAAGCAGACTTAATGCTAACGTTTGAATCTTCGGAGATAGTCCTTTCCATTTTAGCTTGAGGAGATTGTTGTACGATAGAAGAATGATTCTCAGGCGTTTTTTGTGGTATGACAGAGGAGTCTTTGTCCTTTTCTTCAGCAAAAAAGCCTTCGAAATGTTCAGTAGGGGTTTGTACGGAAGAAGTAGTACTGTTAGAGGAGCTGAAAGGCCTTGCAGTGGCGTTCTTAACTTTGGCCTGATGGATACTGCGATATGAGGAGCTGGCAGAGCTTGTAGGTACGCTACTTTCACTATTCTGCTTGCTTAGTGTCACTTTAGAATTACTAGCGCTCGGTCCAAGGTCATTTAACGAAATTTGCTCGATGAGCCTTCGAGCATCAGCCAGTTCCTCCTTAGACACCCCGACAGTATGTCTCGTTTGTTTATTCTTTCGTTTTTGGAATCGTCCACTACTGCTTCCCGACGTGGAAGCTCTTCGATCGCTACCGTTCAGTCCCGCCTGCAGCTTACTGACCAACTGCAGCAAGCTGCTACGTCTCTCAGCCGAAATATCGGTTTGGTCGCTCTTTAACGACACGCTGAGCTTCTCCAGAGCGGCTTGAACTTCGTTTATTAAGTTCGATCTCTGGTCTTCGCCAGATTCGGTGCCGGAATCGGGAGTAATGTCGCTTTCGGGAGCGTCTAAAAGGCCCTTGAGCAAGGGCAGCAGCTGAGACTCACCCTCGATTTGTCCGGCGGTGGGGGTGGTAGGTGTAGCGGGTTCCTCGCCTTTCGTTGCCTGGTCTACCAGGGCCGTGCAGGCTGGAAAAGAAACAATGAGCTGTTAGGGTTAGATGATGTCAGTTAAACTTGACTTGAAGGTTGAAAAATCCTTATGATGTTTAATATGGTTAATATCTTATATTAAATATAGTAAAGATACAGCATAGGTACCTGGTTTAAAACATCCGCAGGAAGAGATACATAAAAGATCATAGCTGTGTTCATTACATCAAAAATTCCAATGATATTGTAGTGACATGCTGTATCTTTTGCTATATTTAATTTAAGGCTAAATTAGAATGAATTATTTCTGTTAAATTTTGTCGCTTGGGTTATTCCAAAGAATTTGACAATAGGATAAGAGAAGTAGGTATCTTAATAAATATATTGAGAATATTTTAAAGTTCGAAGTTTTAAATTTTATTAAAATAAACATTAAAACGCCTGTCAGTCATTACTTAAACAAATGTATTATAATAATAAAATGTATAATAGTGTTTTCACAGTAATATAATTGTTTAAATAAATTATAAACATGGTAACACTAATGTATATTAAAAAAAATGTAAATCAATAATTGTTACATTGACTCAGTTACTTCGTTATCTATTAATATGTAAAAATATCTAGAAATTTAGCTCGGCAGCTATTATACAGTGTATATTATAAGGATTAATGCCATCAAAAGCTAAGTAAATATTTTTAGCGCTTCAGGGAGCGTACAGGTACATCTATAGCATTACTCACATACTTTTTGGATATTTTTTAGTTCATATAATTATTATTTTCTGAAAAATTGAAGCCAGGACAAACGTCTATGGATTGTGTGCACTAGACTGGAAAATTGTGCAATAATTTTAAAATTTAGTATATTTGTATTGAGACGTAATGTTATATTATCAGGAATATTCCTTTTATTATTATAAATAAAAATTTACCTTCTTGCTCCGCCATGATTTGGCGTAATCTAGCTCTGATAAGTCTTCGCTCTTCGTAGTCAGTGCTTTGTTCCAACTAAGAAAATACAAAACTTTGTTTATAAAATCATATTTTCTGCCAACTTAAATACGAATTATATTTTTATTAAACATTATGTATATGTGAAAATATATCAAAGATTGTTTTGAAAAACTGGAAAATAAAATTTTACCAATAATCTTAAGGTTTGCTCGTCCCAAACAGTTTCAAGTTCCTTTTCTGTTACCGGTCTCTGGAAAACTCTGGTTGTAGTTCTTGGTTTGCCCCTTCCTGCAATGAAATGATAATAATATGTTAAGCATATTGGGAAAGTATAAGCATTTGTTTTGTATGTAAATGAAAAGAGTGACTCGGCTAGAAAAGTTTCATCATTTACATATTTTTCTTTTATTACAGGAAATTGTATAGGTATATCGCCATAAACAATAAAACAACTGAAATTTTATTTGAGAAGCTAGGTATGGTTTAAATTGGATTTTAACAGAATTGTATTTTGCAAGAAATAATTGTTTTTATTTTTTAGTTTACTGTTTCATTGATAAAATTAAATATCCAGAACTTTCCAGAAACTATGTTCCTTTACTAAACGGTTGTGATATGAGCTACCGCTACTGAATCGAGTTTAAAGTACGATGCATTTTTATATAAATCGGCCTTGCATGTATATTGCTTTCGTTCAAATGCGTAGGTACTCTGAAAATAACCACTTCTCAACCATTAATTTCATCTCGCTCGTCTTTCCGCCTCCTGTTTGTCTCGCCCACCGCGATCTATCCATCCCTCGGCCTTTTTCAGCCAGAGACAGTAGGAATGTTCAATGTCTAAATATATCGATATAGATAAAAATATATAGCCGATCCTATAGACGTAAGTAAAAATAAAACGAAGTAATCAGACTATATTTGTCAAATCCCCAGCATGACGAACAAAATAAAAGCAATTAAACCAAATGGGTTGCTCTTATCGTCAATTACGACTATTGGGAGTACAACAGCAATTGAAGGGGTGGCTGCAATAACCAGGTAGGTCCACTTTTTTTCGAAAATGCGATTTTTAATGAATTACACTTTAAAAAAGTTGGCCGATCGTTTCCTGCAACAATCAGTTCTCTCAATATAACTGTACATAAATGGCGACGTTAGTTGTAGCTGCCTTGCTCTGGGTTTGCAGCAAGAACCGAGCAGCTCTTTTTCGATTTCCCACACTCCATTTATTAAAATGGAACTGCCTGGTTTTAGCAGCCACCACTTCAATTGTTTATTTGAATTTTCTTTATTATTTTCTTAATTTTTTTCTTTAATAATTTTTTGTTTTATAGAATTTACATATTTGAAATTGTGGGGTTTATAACAATGAACAATAGGATTGCACTGACCAAGAATCTCTTAATTCTGAACTAAGTAATATTAAAACGGATTTGCTTCAAAATAGTTACTCAGACTAGATTAAGTAAATACAACTGCAATACTAGCCAGAGTAAGATGCTCTCCCCTTCTCTCTCTCTTGACGATTCCATTTTTGAAAGGAACTTCATAAAAGATTAGGCGAATAGCCAAAAGTATAAAATTAAAATTATTTTTAAGTGTGAGACAACTCTAAGAAGTGTCTTTGAGCAATGAAGTTCTTGAACAATGAGTATACGTACAAAGATAGCTTGTGAGTGCGGTGAGTTGCATGAGTAGAGAGACTCTTACTGATAGACTGAGAGATTTTTAACATACGCAAGGAGGGAAAACAATGAAGCCATAAACAATAAATGTATTGCATTGTCCACAAGGAACCTTACTGGAAAAATAATTTAAAGAAGCCGTATATCTAGCAATAATAATATCTTTAGCCCCCCGTCCAACTATAAAAATTTCCACAATAGGCAACCACTTAAAACACGTACCAATTGTAAATTGTATAGGAGGGAGAAAGTTAATCACTGGCCGCCTTATAAATCTATTGTCTCCCCCTTTCTTTGTTGTTTATCTCATCATACAGTCTCAGGGTCTTGATAAAAGCCAGTATCTGAGACAGTTTTACATTGTATTTGGAAAACAGAACGGTTCTGGTCCAGTTAGTGTGTTAGTGCTCGCTCCTTTTCTAGCAAAATTGATTGCTTTTTCATTAACTAACTTCTATCATTTGATGGGCTGGCGCCCAGAGTAGGATAACTTGATTTTCTTTGCCTAATTTCTTTAGCTTTTCTAGGAATTTTTTGAGGAACTTCGAACTGATGGTTACTGAGTTATCATTTCTCTCTCTTTTTATCGTTTTACTTATCATTTCTAACAATAATAAAATCTTTAGCAATCCTAGTATGGAAATTTCAACAATATGGCAACCACTCATAAAACGCTCCAATGCAGGTGTTCTTATTAGTTTAGTTCACACTTGATAACGGTCAATGATACTTCTGACCGAAACGTTAGTAACAATGAAAATATTTTAGTATAAATAACTTTTTTTTTAATAAATTCTTCTACTTTCAATAGGATTGCAATGACAGATGAAGAATGAAGTTTGAAATGGACCATCTGGCTAACGAGGTTTAATGAGTAGTCTAATAACCGTATCAAAACCTAAAAATAACGATGATAGAAATATCGATATTTTTAAAATCGATACTTCTGTACATTCCTACTGTATTGTTTATTTTGACCGGGCCATGCGTAGCGCGCAAACGAAAACCACATTGCTAGGCGCGCTCCGTATCGGCCGTATCCAAAATAGGCGACTCGTCTCCGCGAATAAGTCGAACATGCGCCCAAGCGTCCGTAGTGGAATCGGCCTTGTCCTTCGTTCGAAAAAAAAACTATACCTATTATCGGCGTGGGCAGGGTTAGAACATGGATTTGTTTGACGCAAAACTGGACACTTGCTTTAAAAAATACTCGCGATTGAAGGCCTTTTCTCTCTGATGTTTTCTCTGAAGACACGATACTTCCAATAGTTTCTTTTTCAGTTTTTTAGAAAACGGTGTACCCTAAATCAGTTACAGAACTAGAAAACGAGATATTTCGAAAGAATCCTGATTAATTCTTCTTGATCGCGCATTTGGACAGACGAAATTGTGATGTGCCTCTTACGGATTTTTTTAACAATAAAAATGGTTACAATGCAGTGTGTGGTCAAAAAACCCTAGAACGGTGCAGAGAGTCACCGCGTCAGAGTCAGCTGAAATAGTTTATAAATGAACATTGACCAGTATTGACGAAAGACCTGATAAGAAAATACAGGAAAACTGTGGTGGAAATATTAGTTTAGATTCTTCGAGGTGGTTATCGGAGCCACTGCGACCTTTTCAGATCAATTGTGGTCAGATTACATTCTCCAATCCTATCCTTTCCAAAAAGGCTAGCAACTTGGAGTCTGAACCCTCCATATAGCTCTTCGTCAATGGCCTATCATTGCCTGTTACAGAGAACCGCACATTTGCCAGGCTGTCGCACCGACATAAAATGTGTTCTGTCATTTCTCTTTCAAATTGACAGAACCTGCAATTGACTTTGTCCGCCAATCTCGTTGGCTAGATGCCTATTCAGCTTACTGCCCTGTTAGTAAACCCACTAAAGCTTTGGCTCTCTTTCTGTCTTTGCTTACCCTTTTAGGCATTTAAAGCTTATGGTATTACAGACGCAGCCTGTGTAGATTCAGTCAATCACAAGAAGACATTCTATCACTATGTATGTCAGTGTGAGTGCCTTTTGCATTGTACGATAAGTAACTGGTGAAGAGCTATATGGATGGTTCAGTTTCCCAGTTATTGGAGTTTGTGAAAATGTTACGGCAGGATAATGTAATTTGGAGACCTGGTGATCACGATAGGTATGAAAACATCGCAGTGGAATAGCGAAAATCCACCTCATAACATCTAATAAAATCCAATCAACATGAGAGATCTTCCTGATAAGTTGTAACAAGCACTCATTAAAAATTGAAGACATTGTTGCCCACTAAAAAGATTGCAGACACTAGAGCAGTTAGTAAATCTAGAAAGTTGACTTCCTGATACAAATTGGTTAAACGAAATAATGGTCGAAATAAAACAGATGACTATACATTAAAACTTTTTAAAGAAAAAAAAACCTTTTCAACAACTGATAATAATGAAATTAAATTTATTAAAAAAAATATCTTCTAAGAAAAAAAAATAAAGATATTAATACAAAATGATGTAAAAAGGATTAAAGACACAAAATAAAAATTAGTACTAGCCTAAAGATACAAGAAAACTGTGTTAGTTTAGATGACCAAAGAACAAAAAGAGTATCTAATTATATCAAGAACTGTTGATGGAAATAGGTTTCTAATTGTATCATATTATAAATATCCTGCTTAAATACGCGCACTTGTCTCTTAACAATGAATTTCTTTGTGTTAACCTATAATAAAACGACATCATTTAGTAAATAAAAAATCTTATAAATGGTTTCTTCGAAATTCACCTCTGGATAGGATCTATTGTTTTACTACTGATGTTGTTTATTTATAATTGATTTATTGGTAATTTATTTTATTTTTTTTACAATTTAGAAAAGTGTCTTACAATAAACCTTAGAGCAGTCACAATACTAATAATTCAGGAATGAAATATTGTTAACGACTTTGCAGACAATCACATTTAAAATGAATATATTTTATAGTATGTCGACATTGTAAACAATGGAAACATATTTATACAAAACATAAGATCCCCTCGCATCATTTGACAATTTTGGAAGAAACCTTTATATCACCTTTTTGGGTAAAGTAGGTATATCTAAAAATTAATTCATTTATTTTTTGTTTACTGGTACATTTTTAGCAAAGTAAATCATCACTAGCAATTAATTAGGTACTGGATTTCTCTAATATTTTTCATTTATATAACCCACTTTATTTAGCTTGGAACGAATGGCTGTGGAAAGTAACGATGTATGTAAATTTAGGATCTAAAAATAACAAAACATTGTCCTGTTATTATATTTTCTAAATATATTGCGTTATTGTGAGATAATTTGGAAAAGACCGCATTCTTGATAATAATATATATATCATATTTTTATTTAAAATTATTGTTGAAAGAAGTAGTATACGACCCCAAATAAGGTGCACAAAGTTTCTTCGAAAACGGAATTACATTTTTTGAATACTATCTGTGAGATATATGGAATGTTGTCTGGAAATTAGACAAGTGAGAGGAATGTTTGGAAAACGCAGAACATCTAATTTGGCTGGCGATGGGGGCCGATCTAAATTCCGAACGGTTAAATCACTAGATACAAAAATAATGTACTCTCTGA